GTTTTGCAAGCAAGGTCTATATTTCTTTGCCGCCTCTCCAGCACAACATCACAAAGCTGCTCCAGGCAGCTCCTAAAACAAGATAAACACAGAAAACACCGTGTTGAAATAATAAACACAATATTCACATGCACTTATAGCTAAATATATTTGCTTTATATACACATCAACTCTAGTGTATTGCAAACACTTTCAAACGACAACATCACATTTCAAAGACTTTCAAACTAAGTTATATAACATGAAGAGTCCAACTGTCTTCTTCCTGATGGAGGATAAATACCAATGTACAGTTATTTGTACCGAACAATGCAGCAACCTATTGTACATTTCTCAAGTGATGATTCAGCTAGCAAGCAGGCCTAGAAACACACCTGATTGCTAGCTGAATCACCTCATGGGAAAATATATCTACTAGGCTTGCTTGCTAAGCTGAATCATCACAGTGAGAAATACAAGCTGCCTGCTAGCTTTACCTGATGGATCAGGTAAAGCTAGCAGTACAATAGGTTGCTGCATTGTTCGGTGCAAATAATTATACATTGGTATTTATCCTCCATCAGGAAGAAGACAGTTGGACTCTTTGTGTTATATAACTTAGTTTGAAATGTGTTTGAAATGTGATGTTGTGGTTTGAAAGTGTTTACAATACACTAGAGTTCATGTTGTGTATAAAAAGCAAATATATTTAGCTACAAGTACATGTAAATATTGTGTTTATTATTTCAACACGGTGTTTTCTGTGTTTATCTAACTTAGCCGTGTTCCCTGTGTGCTTGTTGTAGCTCCTAAAACAAAGCAAGGTAAGCTTGTAGATGCAATCAACAGTTAAAAAAACAAATACACTGTAAGTGACTGAAATCCAGGAAAACGTAAAACACCATAAAGTAAGAAAATCACCACTCAACAGCAGAGAACCCTACAAGAGCAAAGCAACAGCAAATAAAATCCCAACAGAGCAAAAACAGAATGAAAATCAGAACTGTAAAATAAATTCAGTATACCTTCCATCCCCAAACAGACGTTAAGAACACATGAAGGTCAGTAAAATACAGGAAAAGGAGGCGAGGTGAAAACACTCAATTAAAAGCCTGTGTACATCAAAGTGCCTGAAACACAACCTGGCCCCTGTAAGTCCAAAGAGTAAAGAGTCGTGCAGGGAGGTTAGGCCTCCTGTTCCCTGCCACTCAACAGAGTGGTGGGCGAAGTGGGGGATCAGCGCTGCACCAGTGCTGTGACGTCACCTGTGGCACAAACTGGAAGTGATGTCACTGCGACACTCTAGGAGTCACCCAAAGCTCTATGGTTAAACCAGGACTTATGGTGAATCCTAGAGCACTAGACCAATAAAATGATGTCACTTCCAGTTAGTGCCATTCTGACACTGTCTCTCGCTGGGTGGCAGGTGAGCTTAGAGGGACAAAGCATTCCACAGATGCAAGACAGTTTCCAAAAGGCCTGCCCCATGGGCAGGAGCACACAATCGAGACATTACTTTTAACAATAAAATTAAAGAGGCCTGAAGGTGACTTGGGAATGTTGGGGAAACGGGCTGTGCTGGGTGAAACTTCCAAAGCAACACTGAAAGGGAGGGAGCCAGGGCCTTGGAGGGCACCTGTACGGGAGCCATCAGGGAGAAGCTGGTGGTGGGCAAGATGTGAGATTACTCAGGGCCCCAGTGGAGACCAGACAAAGAGTTTCGCTCTAGTCCAGGACCCATTTCCCACAAGCAGCTGCACCGCCCTCACTCTTCCCTTCCCCCGATCATATTCATCCATTTCCCACTACCTGCTGCGCATTTTGACCCACAGCATCCCCCGCATCTTCTCTATCTCAAAAAACAAGGATCTAGAAGACGCGGGGGGAAATCGGGGGATGCTGCGGGTCAAAATGCGGCCACGCAGCAAGTAGTGGGAAACTGGTGAAGACAAATCGGGGGAAAGGGAAGAGCGAGGGTGGCGCAGCTGGTTGTGGGAAATCGGTCCAGATGTGGCTTTACTCAACACGGAGTCTTTTCTAGAGCTGGCCCTACTTGTGGTGTACTGGCTCTGGATCACAGGGGTTGACCTCTGAGGGCTCGTAGATGGTCATCCTGCCTCTGGTCAGGGAGCAGATTACAGGGCCTTTTGGTCCCTTCCCTCCTCAAACAGGACTTGACCAAAGCCAAGATGCCAGGAGGCAACCTAAGAAGGGTTCTGAGATTCAGCTGCCTTATACGGAGCCAGACTTCTGGTCCACAGAGATCAGTATTGTCTACTCAGGCCGGCAGCGTCTCCCCAGGGTCTCAGGCCGAGGTCTTTCACATCACCTTCGGCCAAAACTGGAGATGCCGAGGATTGAACCTGGGACCTTCTGCACGCAACTGCTACTGAGCCACAGTCCCTCTCCAGTTCAGTCGAGACAGGAAATCCAGGTAGTCAAATGTCATTCAGGGGATACGCCCAGCACGGCAAATAAACCTCTTGCCCCACAAAAAAAAATGTTCAGTGAAACATCGTTTTAAGCCACTGCGTAAATGCATCTCAGAAGCTTGACTGCCTACCGCCTCTCATACAGGAGGTTGGACACCATGCTCATCAGGGTCTGGGGCTTGATTTGCCGGCCCTCCTTCAGTTCGTAGAGATTCAGGCGGAACTTGAGCCTCTGGGCGCTTGAAGAAGAGGGAAAGGATTAGTGTTGAACCCACTCGAAGACCTTCGTGCCGCTCTCCAAACGTAATGCCCCGGCACGACATGCAGCCACTTAAGAGACCACACTGGGACAAATATGAACAAACACGGGGGAGTTGCCAGTTTTCTTTAAAGCACAAGTTCATGGGTTATTTTAGGGTACACCTGAAACACATGCAAGGAGTAGTTGATAAAACTATGAAGAAGAGCCACATCTGCAACTTCTAATGGTTACGAATTAGGGCTCCGTACATGCCATTCAACTCAAGGCAGAATTTATTCTGTATGGTCTCCATGACTCTAGAAACACAGTTTTCCTTCCTTATGCAATTAGATGGGCATTATTAAGCCGGTTTGATAGTTACATTATTAATACTAAAGAAATTGTAATTTAAATCTACTATAAACTTTGTTGTTAAAGTAATGTATACAATCTTATAATCGTGCCGTAATCTACTGGACAGGGAAAGGATAAAGAGGAAAGGATGGAGTTATTAATCCAGATTGGAATGTTACAGTGTACATATTATTTGTATATCCCATTGTGTGTTTGTCAAAAAAGAAATACATAGAAATTAGGGGGGGAAAGAAAAAAGAAAAAAAAGAAACACAGTTTTTATTACAAGTAATTTGTCCAGAACTCTTCAAAGTCAGTGTCTGTTAAATCTGAATATTAGACCTTAACAGTTAATAAACTATTTCAGATCTTGTGATAAGAGAGATTTCAAAATATATACCATCTGTAAGAAAAAAAGGCAGCTCAATTTAGATAAAACGCTCTCTTTTCCTAAAAAAATAAAATGCTGAGTTTCAGCCTTTTAATCTGCAGAACGCAGAGTGGGGCACGCACTTTGCAGCCCTATTCCATCGCCTTTATTTTGGTATGCTTTTACCAGAGTCCCTCAGCACAGGGAACTTTGTGCAGCCTCCCACCAACACAATTGCCAAACTTCTTCTCGGCTGCCGGCAGCCCTGAGAGGTATGTTGCTCTTCTCCTTTGTTTCTGAGGTTGCAAAAAAAAAATAACCACTGCTTATGAAAGATTATTTGGCAAGTCAGTGGTACGTGGGGACCAAGGCTCCCTCTAAGCTGTGGAGTCTTGTGAGCAAAAATTCCACTTTGTGAGCTGCTGGCATTAAAGTTGTGAGCGAGCGATTTGGCTACTGTATCAATTAGTTTGCTCTGGAGTCCTCCTTCCTGAGCCGAGACAAAAATGTGTGAGCTGGAGGCTTAAAAACGATGAGCTAGCTCACACTAGCTCATCTTAGAGGGGACACTGGTGGGGACATTACCTCCCCTTCCCCCAGCCTCCCAGATCACAATGCCAGCCTAATCCCCAGTCCAACAGAAGTACTTACACTGTCTGAACATCTGTGGCAAGTCCAGCCAAGCCAATAAATAGTCTGTCTCCCATTGGGAACATTTTCTGGAAGTCCGTGGTCACCATCTGAGCTTGAATGCCAAATCGCCGATCAGCTGCAATAGCAACGCAATTTTTCCCCTTCATGGCCATGACGGCCCCACCATTATAGGACATAATAGACTGGAAGAGAAGGGAAGACAAAAGATTGAAAATCTCAGCTAAGTAGTGTTTTCACATCACTCCCTTGTTTGGATGGACACTGCTCAACCTCGGAAGCGCCACAGCCTCTCCCCTGATGTTAACCCTAGTGTCAGCTAAGCTGCCATGAGTAGGGAGAAACGTTCTAATTGTTTTGCATTCCTTTCTATGCGCTTAATTGCTTGCCAGCTGCAACGCTTATCTGTAAAGAGGTACTGGAGGAGTGTGGTGTCTACCTTCCGTGGGATCGTTCTGGTTCCCAGCTTTTGCTACCGTTAGAAACTTTCCTGAATCCCGCGTGCAGGAGCCCATCTAATTGGGTATTGCTGGGGGGGGGGGGGACATACGAAAGCCCTATATCCTATTATGCGCAGGGGTAGCCCACCATTCCTAACAGTGTTCATGTTACTGCATCTATGGCTTTTCAATAAAAGGAAAACCTTCTTGGAAGCGTGTACTTCATTGTTTGGCTGTGGGTCCTGACATTCTGGCATTCAGAGGTTGGCTGCCCATAGACAGGGAGTTCCCAAGAAGGAATATAGGCCAGAGAAGCCCAAGGGAGTTCTACTGAAGCTCCCAGGGTGTGCACTTCTCTCAGCAAGGCCCCAAACCACTGCATGGCAGAGTTCTGCCATGAGCTGAGAGGCGCAAGAGGGAAAAATCTGGCTCAGAAACTTGGTAACATCTCATTTTTCTGTCTGCCTGTCTTCTTAGCTGGGTTAGATTGATACTACTCAAGACCTGCAGGTCAGAGGAGTAGAAAAAGAAAGTAGTGTTTGCATGTCCAGCCTTCTGCTGTGGAAGAATCCTACCTTCCAATGTGGACACAGAAAAGACAGAAGGGACTGAACTGTCGGCATCCTGGTTCACTTTCCCATAGCCAGTTAAATAAAATTGCATTAAAAAAAAAGTCAAACATACAGTAGCAGGTAACAAAGGACTGGTTAATGGGTTACGCTTTACAGAGTTTTACTATGGCTTTACCAATAATTCTGAATTACATATATAAACCCAGCACACGTCCTTGCAGCTCCTTCCGAACAGCAGTCGTGCAACACCTCACCTGGCTCCCACGGTGAACCTCTCTCTTCTCCTTCCAGCACCCTCAAGCGCCACAAAGAAGGAGCTTTGCCGCCATGCTATAAAGCCAGCCAGGGGGGCCTTTCAGGAGCCGAGGCCCTCCTTGCTCAGGACGCCCCCCCCCGCTCTCGGATCCACGCCCCCCCCCAAAGTCTCCAGGTGTCTTC